TAAAAAGAAAAATTACACATGACAAAAAACACCCCGAAAATCGGTTATTATCACTGAAAAAATAAATATGATGGATGTGTGTGTGGTTGTTCGAATAAATCAAACGAAAAAAATAAATAAATTCAATTTTCCAGAGATGTACAAACAAAGTAAGCATAAGCGAATAGATTGAAAAGTTGATCTTTGGTAAAAGAAAGAATAAGTTAGTATATATGTTAGTCTGCGTCAAATTCGACAATTCGACACAGTAACGATGACAGTAACATATGTTGAGTTATTTTGAATGATGTATGCCGCACATCCCAAACATCTATCGCTACTGTTCGACCTGTTATTCGATCGTAACTGTAACCATAATGTTCCAATTAGTTGCATTTCAAACATAAAATTCCACGTAAAATTATATCCAATTAAAATGGAACAACATAACGATGTAGAGCAAGACGAAGTAAAAAAAAACTGCATGTAAAATTAGGGTTGAAATAAGCGGGTGAGCGTTTACATGTCATTTGTCTTGTTGTTGTTTTTTTTCGGTTTGGGTGAGTGCAGCAGAAGCCCATTTTGAAGATTTATTGACAATACAAGTGGTTTTCAATGACGGCAAAATCCCCATGAAAATTGAGCATCATTTAAACTCACACAAAATAACTCTTAATTAAAATAATAATAATACAAACAACACGCCCGAAAACTGATTTTTGATGTTGTTCTTGTCAGCCCTTTATTTTTTTTATTTTTTAAATGATTCATTGCAATGGATTTATTAACGTGGTGTGTATGCTTTGTTGTGCACGAGTAGTAAGGTGTAGCCAATTTGATTAGGGGGCAATTTTGAAGACACCCTCTCTTTTTCGCACTCTTTCATTCGGTATGTGTGTATCAGCTTTCAACGTTGATTTAATTGCAACAATGCGTTCAAAAACACCCATATGCATATAGCAATTAATCGACGAAACTAATACAAGCTAATTGGCTTTTGCTTGTTGGCGCGCCATCGAAATATATTTGTATATTTTTCGAAACGTTTAGATTTTGTTGTTTTTTTTTTTGAAAATTTTGGACGGTGGCAGATTTTTTTTTCAACACCAGGGCATATATTCAATTTCAAACGATTCAAAAGCACTTCGTAAACTGTTGTCATGACACACAGATTTAATTGAATTCCAGCTATTTTGAGCACCACTTTGTCTGGTGATTCACATAAGCTTCTAACTCTCGATTGCAAACAGCAAAAAAAAAACACACACCATATATGACAAATTTGCTGGAAATATTTTAAATTTAGGCAGAGAAGAAGGAAAAGAAAGTTATGAGAACAATGAAACAAATGCTAGCATTTTGAAAATCGAGATGCTCGAAACAAAGCAATAAGGAAACAGACACACAAAAAAAATTTGAGAGAGGAAAAGAGAAAAAAAAATATTTAGTGCAAAATGCGTCAATTAATATTTTGGTGAATACGTTGAAAAAAAGAGAGGAGAAGAGATGGAGATAGAGATAGAGAGGGAGAGAGATAGAGGAAAGCCCAAAATCAGATCAATAAAATTAATAAGCATCAGATTTATTGCTATGAACAACCAGACTTGCGTACGCTTGATCGTTTGTTCGTTTTGGCAAAAACACACGATGCACGAGAATGGGATGAACGAACACACACAAAAAAAAGTGTGAAATTGAAAGTTTTAAATTACACACGAAACGCAACACCATCGAAAACTCAAATTAGCATTTGTAGCAGAGAGTAAGAGACGGAGCTCTGATTACATTGTGTCCTCGTAAATGCCATTTCATTCACATTCTCACCGAATTCTGTGTTCGGTTCTGAGTACCAAATGCGATTGCGGACGTACCATATCGCCGTGTTAACTCGTGTTTACTGCTCAAATCAAAATCAGTGTGTAGAGCCCAAAAAGGGATTTTATGCATTGACACCAAAGATAGATCTATTGCCGAGATTTCACTTCGCAATATTTTTGTTTAATTCGACACAATACGAGCAAAGCGTTTTGATGATAGCGAATGTGACTGCACAAAAGACTGTTTTTCTTGTGAAAAACAGCTTTGTGACAGGACAAAAAAATGCACATTTTTCAATGTAAAATATGCTGATAATAACATATTTGTCGTTTTCTCACTCTCCTCACTCACGCTATCGTCATTTTAACTATTTCCAGCTTGCATAAAAATCATAATCACTAGGATTTTTGCAACAGACGAAGAAGAATTAAATGTGCGTCAATTGTGAATTGTTTCACATTTTTCTATTCGCATGAGCAACGACGACAACGACGACAAAAATATTTGTTATTTGACGCTCATTGTGCTCATTTTCACGAGATTCAGTTGTCTTTTTACAATTGCGATTGCTCATTTAAACGCTTATTTTGGATGTTAGGTGCGTTTTTCCTCTTCATCTCTCTCTCTCTCTCTCTCTCTTTTCGCAATATTTGTTATTTCTCTCTCACTCTCTTGCCTTTCTCTCTCTCATTTGAATAGGGCGAGCTTCAACATGAATAGAGCCATGAATTTGTTGTAATTTGAATCCGTTTTTAAATGGAACAGCGAAAATTTGTGAACACGACAAACAAGGCGATTGTGTGATATATTTGTGAAGCAACTGCGAATCCCTAATCGCATCAAGAATTCGAAGGAGTGGCTTAACCGACGAAAAGAAAACACGACAACAACGCAAAACCAATTGTTGTGAGAAATCAGTTTTCATCATGATTTTCTCTTTATTTAATCAAAACGAATAAGCCAAATAACATTTGAAAATTGAATTAGGGGGGATAATATTATATCTATCATTGGTTTTTTTTTATCAGTTAAATCAAATTATGGTCATAAAGTGGCTGTTGTGTAATGGTTATAAACCTTTAATTAGTCCCGTTGGGAATTGACTGCAACGAATCGCATTTAATGTCAACTTCTCAATCATTGAAACAGTTTCCAATGTGTTTCGTACAAAATAATAATAAACTAGTTGAATAATTATGCGTTTTTTTTTTTCTTCAAATTTATTAATATTTTTCCCCGCAATTACATGCATAATACAGAGAAGAGAAATAAAGAAAATAAAATGAGGCAGCACAAAAATGAAGCGAAAAAAAGTCGCGCGACATTTTGATTTATGGAAAAAGGATTGTGAACAGTTTGGTCGGTATCAAATCGCGTTCTATTGACCGATGAAAATGCAAGTGCAGCATTGTTTTTAAATACAGGGAAATGGGAAAAAATGAAAAAATTCATTCACACAAAACTAAATATATTATAAATCGAATAAGAGCGAATGGAAACGTAAACACAGCAAACCAATATTAAGTTACATTGTTTTGTTTGTTGTTCGTCTATTCGCGTTTTATTTGACACGTCTTTTTTTATATTTCACTTTTTGCGCGCACGGTTACCCGTCCATAATAATCCATATAAAAAAATGTTTCTTCTTTTATTCTTTTCTTTTCTTTAGTTGCAAGTGGTTATTTTTGTAAAAAAAGGAAAAAAAAAACTTTAGTTTCTAAGTTTGCAAAAAAAAAGAAGAAGCATGACAATCGACTGTTGGCAATTCCACAGAATGTGGTCGCTTTCTTGCGAACTATTTTCTCACACTTGCAATCGGTCGCGTTTGTCTTGGAGCATATAGAGAGTGTCAACGCAATTAGAAACTGTTCCATTTAAATTGAAAAATTAATGTGTCAGCAAATTTTCATATATATATTCTATTTAACATGCCAGATCGACGACGCCTCATATCAAATTCATTCTATTCTCATTCTCTTCTTTAAATATCTCAACTCTTGTTGTTTTCGTGTCAATTTCATAGAACATTACTTGTTTTTACTTTCAAATCGACCAAACAAAAACATACGCAATTCAATCACATTTGAAAACATGTTCAATTCAATTCGCATTTCTCGTATAAATGATTATTAAATATGATTTGAATGTAAATACAAATTTATGGAAATTAGAGAAGAATTGACGAGAGCAAGTGTCATATTAAAAATTTGAAGAAAAAAAACCAATCACATTTCTGATTCAAACTGAGCTGAGAGTGGCTGCCATTTATTCCAATCAATTTTTATAGGTGGTTTCAATCAAACAGTTCATTTTTTTTTGTATCAAAAGCATTCAATTGCAAATAGAAATCTATTATTCCTTAATGAAAAAAAAACTCTTTATCAGATTACATTTAAAATGAGTTTCGGTCTAAAAATTGTCAATAGATTCGAAATCATGGCATTTATATCGGACAACGTAACAGTTTTTTTTATTGATAACAAATGCAAAAAATTGAAGCAAAAAATAAAAACAAAATACAAAAATAAACCAAACGAAATTGTGATATAGGCGGAGCTATGGCATTGATTTTGCGCAGGATAAACCAATACCCGTTTGGTATCTAGTCTGTGTCCTCTTATGAAGATGGTAAGCATATCAGCGATCACAAACAAGAGCAGGAGAACAGTGTAGAGAGTGAAAAAAAATATGTCCTAAATCCAGCCCCTCGATTGCAATCTCAATGATCGACAATGATGACGAAAACGACAAGAGCAACAGCGGCAACAGCACCAGCAACAACAACAACAAAAAGAGCACACATAAACACACAATTCACTCGAATTTGCTTGCCTGTTGGTTATTGTCGTCGTTGTTTTGTGTTGTCGTTGTTATTTTGGCTGTCGCATCTCCAATTTCACATTGGCAGAGCCCTTTTTGTTGATATCGTGATTTTCAGTGATTTTCACACATGTTCGACGACAAACGGCAGTACAGTTTAATCGCCTATAAGAGGTCTCATATTCATATTGTGGGTTGAGATATACAATGTATGTGTGTGTGCATTTTGTACGAAAACCGGCGCTGTTCTTTTTTTTAGCTCTTACTCTCTCTATGAACAATTGGTGTGTGTGTGTGTGCCCGTTTTTTCTTGTTTGGTTCTCCGTTTTCACGTTCCCTTCGCTTGTTTCAGCTGGACTTTGCAATCAACTGGTTGGATTTGTTTGCTTCAGAAGGCTTTAGGATCTCATACTGTACATGAGCCGTTTAGTTCATTTTTTTCCTCACTACCAACCAAAATTCAAAGACAAACACATGTAATCGTCTTTTTTGCAATACAACATATTTTTTTTACGTTTAATTTTAGTAAAATATTTCCAGTGAGTCAATCGAAGGAAGTGTGATTCAGTGTCTAGTGACTGAGTTTAAATCTTCGAAGAAAATAGTCATAGATTTTGTACAAATTAGTGAATTAAGGTGCAAAACATTTTTAATGTATGTGATTTAGTGTGTTTAATTAAAAGTCAGTGTGATTTTGGAGACGCAACGAAATTTAAGAAAACAAAAATTATGTCGGCAATTCATGCAATGAGCTCCAATTCAAACAGTCCCACCGATCCTCTGCGACATAATCTCAAAGCAAACGGAATCATTTCACAAAATAATAGCAAAACCACGATGGTCTATTCACCATTAGCACTTTCCAACAATACAAACGTGAACAACAACAACAATAATCACATAACAAACAATAATTCAAATGCTGACAATTCGTCAGGTCAGTTATTTGTTTAATTGGTTATTTCATTGATCAACAAAAAAAATGAAAATTATTCATCATAAAATCATCATCAAACATGATTGAATGATCAAAACGAGGCATTTTGTGATAAATTTATTATTAAAGATCAGTTTTTTGTGTGTTTTTTCTCTCTCTTTGTTTCTTCGTGCAGGTTATCGAAATAATGTCACCCCCGAAAATTCCACACTTTGCAAAACCACACTATTCTTTCCGGAAAAATTTCAAAATTTTACCAACGAAAAAATGTTTGTGCGAAAAACAGAAAGTGATTTCGGTAAGTGTCAATTACGTAATAATAATTTGAATTCAAATTTAAGTGTATGATATTAACGTGTTTGATTAAATGCGAAATTTCACGAACGAAACAATAAGTGATCGCGTTAATTGCGTTATATTGTTTTAGACTTTGATATAGTTTGTAAACATTTTGTGAGACACGAACGAAACGATTTTAATCAAATCAGAAGAAATGTAATCAGTTTAGGAAGACCAAGTCGCCGTTTTCGGATCAAAGAAACTTTAATTTAATGATGGAAAATCTTTCACATTTTTATTTCATATAGAAAACAGTCGACTGATTGACTCAATGTCAAATCGAGAAACAGATAATCAATCGCAAGCTTATGCTGTGTCACCGTCATTAGTTTTATCGCCGAATGGTCAATCGACGAGCTCATCGGGAATTTTTAATTCAGAAATGGGACGCAAAACATTCGATTTTAGTCCCGATCATATAGTGTGTTTGTGCGAAGCACTTCAACAAAAAGGTGATATTGATAAATTGGCACAACTTTTATATAATCTGCCCAAAAGTGAATTGGTTCGGCCGAACGACAGTATTCTAAGGTGAATATCTTTTTCTTTTTTTTGATTTTACATCATCCTTTTACAATTCAAAGAAACATTCTGAGCAGTTCTTTTTCGGAAACGATTTGTTATTACGTCAAAGTTTAACTGTCTCACAGCCATGCGATGACTAGCTATTTTGACCAAAGTTTCTCCACATTCTTGATTGCATTCGCATAAATATAAGTAATAATAACTGCTTATCGCTTGGCTATGTGACCATAAAACTCCGATTCAAAATACCCCTTATTTTTGTTTACAAATTTAAATTTTTAATGCCACCAATGGATTTAAAAAAAAACCGTTTTTTATTTACAATTTTCTTATTCTCATTTGTGATGAAGAGCGCGAGCCGTAGTTGCATACCACCAAGGTCTCTATCATGATCTGTACAAATTGCTCGAGTCACATTGTTTTTCCGCGAAATTTCACAACGAATTGCAATTGCTTTGGTTCAAAGCGCACTACAAAGAAGCCGAAAAAGTTCGAGATCGTCGACTAGGTTTGTATTTATTTTTCTTGTATTTTTTTTCCTTGCATAAAAAAATTCTCGCGTTGAACTGTTCTTTTGAAACTGCATTTCGGAAAACTGGTAGAAAAACGTAGAGATCCAAATTGAAGATGTTTTTTTATCAATATCTTCCTAAATGTGATTTCGAAAGAAAACTTAAATTCAAGACATTTTTATGCATAATTGTTTCATTCTTTTTATGAGTTATAGTCTTAAATGGAAATTAATTCAAAGTAAAACCATTAAATTTTGCCACCATACCATATTATTGGTATTTTGACTTCTGTTTAATGATCTACTTAAAACCATTTGATTGTTATTATGTTTATTTATCGCAAAACATAGTGAAACAATGTCTAGAACGATGTCAATACGACTGTTAGAACTAAATTGAGAATGAAACCAATAACAAGTACAAAGAAGAAGAAAAAAACTTAATGTGTGTGTATGTGTATCTTTTAATTTGATTTTCAAATATCAGGAGCCGTCGATAAATATCGTATACGGAAAAAATATCCGCTGCCGAAAACGATTTGGGATGGTGAAGAGACGGTTTATTGTTTTAAGGAAAAAAGTCGAAATGCGCTCAAGGACTGTTACGAACGTAATCGGTAATAAATTCAACGATTTTATTATGTATTTTTTTTTTTGTTAACGGTGTGATTTTTTGGTGAACTGTCGTGCCAAAAAATCTGTCTAAAGGCATTATGGTTCTGATCAGTCGCACAAAATTTTTGAAAATGAAAGTGAATTCTATTGAAATAACTGTATATTTCCCAAATACAATGGAAATCATAGAATCATCTGTGTATAATGCACAAAAAATATTATTAAAACGATTTTTCTAAACACTTGTTTCGATTTCTTTTGTGCGTGTGTGTCGTTGCGTATTTAGGTATCCGACACCCGAGGAGAAGAAGTTGCTGGCGAAAAAGACATCGCTTACTTTAACACAAGTGTCAAATTGGTTTAAGAATCGACGACAAAGGGATCGAACTCCGCAGAGCCGTTTGTGAGTATAAATGCTATTAAATGCAATGTAATTTATGTGTGTTACAGTAGAAATAGGCATATTGAAACCGAGCAATTTGTGCCACATGCAGAATTTCAGACGAAGAAAAAAATGGCACTTCCTCTAATGGGTCAATCCATCCAAATCACTTGTTGCACCATTGCTGCAGAGAGGATGAAAGAAAAACATATGTATTTTCTTTCGTAATTTATATGAAGCATTTTTTTTTGGTCATTTGGATGTGCGGCACAAATATTGGAACATATACACAGGAACGAAAAATTTTTTTTTAGTTGAAATGCACAACGGAATCGAAATGTCCAGATTACTTCTGAGGAAATTCATCGGAAAAAAATGTGTAAAAAAGCAATAATTCAATGTCAATTTGGAATATATATTTTTTAAATGAAAAATGATTGCCCTTAAAATCTGTCCGGTGATGTGCATTCTTGAAGAAAATGTGTCTTTTTTATATAGAGGCTAACAAAAAAAAAAAATCTGGTATTTTCTCGTATAATTAAAGAAATATGTTTTTTTTTTTCGTTTTGCATTTATTTCCACAGGGATATGATACCAGTGATACCCAGCTCAGGGATAGACAGCAATTTTTCACGGCTTTTCACCCATGGCAATTACCCGCACGCCTCATACGCAAATGAGGATGTGTATAGTACATAAAACATACGAAAAACACACACACACATAAAAAAATGATATCTGGCCAAAGAGTTTCGCCGCAACCCAAAATGACAACAATATTCAACGTGAATTAATTCCCTCGAAGCATGAAAAAGCAAAGACAAAAAAGACGACTGCTCATTTTTGTGGTGTGATTCAAATTCTCTTCTGTAATAAGTTTTATTAAAACAACCAAGCATTTATTTTCGTGTATTTTTATTTTATTAGTAAAAAAGTATGATAATATAAACGATTCGAGCAACATATTTTTAGATGTGCAAAAGAAAACAAAAAAAAAGAGTAACAATTTTTCAAAAAAAGAAGAAAAAAACGTATTTCATTCAAAGAAAAAATAAAGTGAAAATAATTCAATAAGAATTATAAACGAATTATCGAATTTGATCCAGCGTTCTTTATTTTTTGCATTTACGTGCAATCATATTTGATGTTTTTTTTTTAGATTTCCATTTACTGGAAATTAAACGTGTTTTTAAGTATTTGTGAATGATATAATCGGTAAAGAATGAATGTTTCTTTTTGGTTTATAATAGAAAAATAATCTTATTTTTTGGATTTAGGCTTTAAAATTATCCTTTTCCTTGCGAATTGCAGCCATCGTCGAAATCTCATCAGTTTTACCAGTGTGCTGTTGAACACTTACTTGATTGACTCGCATAAAGGGATTGATTAATTTTTCTTCACCAATCGTTGACGGCACCTGTTTGATAAAAGAAAAACACGACAGTTTGAAAAATCAATTTTATACAACAACCCGTAACATAGAACCGTGCCCAAAAATAAGCTCTTGCGCGTATCGTAGTAAATTTATGATCATTTTTTTTCTCTTTTGGAAATGTATACACAGAATCTTGCACTAACGCCTATTTTTCTTTGGTCCATTCGAAATAACAGTGAGAACAGCATCGCATCGTTGTGTCAGTCATGTGTATGTTGTGTTCATGACTCTCTGTGTATGTTTTCCATAAGAAAAAAATTCTTTATAGATTTACTTCGATAATTCAGTGCTTAAGCGTTAATTTTTTATTTGGCTCGGATATATTCTACGGAAAAAACGATTCTATAAAAGATCAATTACCGTCGGAATGTTGTCAGTGCGCATTTTCTTGGCCCAATCGATTTTCTTGAGAATGTCCTGATTGCTTGGTTCAACGTGTTTTGCGAATGCTAAATTTTGCAGAGTATACTCGTGACCACAATAAACACTCGTATCGTTTGGGAGTGCGGACAGTTTACCGATAAGTGCGGCATGCATATCTGTGGCATTGCCTTCAAAAAATCGACCACAACCGCCGGAAAATAGGGTATCGCCTGTGAACACAGCACGATCACCATTGGGTGAGTCAATGTAATAACATATGTGACCGGTTGTATGGCATGGTGTGAATAAACACCGAATCGTTAAATTTCCCAATTGGATCTCATCATCTTGTTTAACTTTATCGGTCAAAGCACCAATACGATCATCGCCACCATACACTTTTAACGATTTGCTAAATTTTGAGACTAGCTTTTCATTTCCGCCAGCTTTAAATTGAGAAAAGAGAAAAAAAATAATTTCATTTTTCCACTAAATTTTGAATTAAACATTTAAAATACGGGGGAAAAGGGGAAATATAATACCGTGATCCCAGTGATGATGTGTGGTGAGAATCGATTTCAATTGAACCGCTTGATCGGACACCGCTGTTAACACACGTTCGGGATCTACGGGATCTACAACGACTGCCTCACGCGTTTTATTGTCGATAATCTACAAAGTTAAAGAAACGAAGAAAAAATGTAAGGGTCCGATAATTTTTTGTGTGTGTTTTCGACACATTCGTTCTTATTTGAAAGGTCGACGGATAAATGAGAAAAAAAAAAAAACTATTGCTTATACCAAATACATGTAGTTGTCCTGTAATGCTGGTAGAATTTCAACGCTAAAATCGCTCATTTTGATGAATTGTGTTAAGCTATGTGAACCTCGAATGCCAACGGTGCGCCAAGCTTGAACTGAATTAGTGATGCGGAAAATAAAGTCAAATGAGACAATAAATCAATGATAAAGTATACGGTGAATAGATAATTTCGCACACAGACAATAACACAGACACACATTCAACGACAATAATAACAAACACATTTTTTTGTTTCATGAAATCAAAACATCATTGTCAATAACAATTATCGTTTCAAAAAAAATACGATATCGTAATAATCACGATTTTTTTTATTGCATTGACAATAATCATTTTTTTTTTGTTTCGTTTCTTACATTTAAAAAAACAAGCTGTTAATGTTGTGGCCACCGAATTTGATACTATGCCGACGAGATGCGACATTGAAATAGCGGTTTTATTTATTGGTATATTCAAAATTGTCTAAAAAGAAATTGGCGTATTAAAGACAATTGTTGTGGTTTTTATTAACGACACACGAACATGAAATACTTCAGACCGAATGACACACTATTTTTTTTTTCTTGTTTTAATTTCAGTTACGCAGCAACTTAAATTGCGAAAAAGACAGACTTTCGATTGTTAACGATATACATACTATATGTGCTTTACCTTAACTGTTTGTGATTTAATATATTATCTATTCCATTTAATTCACTGCCTAGCGAGCGCACTGAATGTGTCACAGCAAGGGACAGAGATAGAGAATATATATATATGTATCGAAAGCTGAATGGACAGATAGTTGAACAACGATGATTATTCGCTGTGTATGTTATATTTTTTTTATTTCTCTAGATCTCTCGTGCTACAACAGCAGTATTTATAATAATTTTCCACCGTAGAACACCTTATCTTGCTAATCGCACGCAAACACACGCTATGTATGTCACCGCTTATATTATGACTGACGGACCGACAAACTGAAGTAAAATTCGCGGTGTGATAGTGTGCGCGTCTTTTTGACAGATCTCTGACATTTAATACAACACGTTAAAAGAAGAAAGTTTTTGCCATACGCTCTAGATCGCAATTTAAAGAAAATGAATATGAGATTTTTACATATGTTTTTTTTTTTTCTTGTCGCTTTATGAACTACATGGATAATTTTTTCGACTTGGAATGTGGATAGGGTCATCAATTATGAACTTTAAATAGGGGCAAAGCATATTTTCGCTACATTTTTTCGGCTTACATGTAGAATGGCATGAAAATCCGAAATGAAGCTTCAATTAAAACAAATCATGTTTAAAATTATTATTATTATTATTTTGAAATTTTATTCTTTTTATATTAAGAATGACCGAGATTTTTACAAACACCACAAATTACTCGATTTCCCTTTTGATTTAGACGTTTTTCAATTTTTCTTCGATGTCCTTCACTCGAATTTTAATCTCTGGTGCATTGTCACGTTGCAGTGTAGCCAAAATCTCATCGAAAGTTCGCTTCAACAGTGCCAGTTCATGTGTTGCTTGTTTTTCAATCAGACGACTCGATAATGTCAATAAAATATTGAGCGCTTCCTTTTTCAAACCCGTATGTGGAATGGCTAAACGGATAAAGAATGTAAAAGTATTGAATATTAAATCTCAATCAATTCAGAAATGTATTTGCACTTAAAAAAAACTTGAATTTGCATCATCACCTGACACCGAGACCACGGCCGATAAAATATCGGTGCAGATTTTCTGAAGAATTCCCTCATTTTCATCGATTTTAAATTTCTTTTCGCCTGCACTTTCCGCATTCGATTTACTCGGCACCTCAAGAATTTTCAAACGTTCCACAAATTTTCCTAATGCAATCAGCAATGCCAATTGCACGGGACGAGTATTGTTTTGCAAACATTGAACACATCGTTCGACAAACATCAATTGATACTTTTTCTGTGTTTCCAATGAATGGGCTGGCCATGCTTTGCCCATTGTTTCACAAACCGTTTCTTTTAAATTGATAAAAATCATAGCACGTTTATTTCGTTCGTCAGACGATAGATTTTTCTCTTCATCGTCGCCGGTAACCGATGCCAAATCCTTTTTATCAATCAAATACCAAATCATATTGTACAATTCCTCAAAACGATCCTCTTCCAAATGTTCCAACACATCGCCGATTGCTTTCAGCGCATGTGTTCGATAGATTGGCTCTTCTTTGTTGCATTCCTTCATCACCGAATCGATAATTTGTTGATGAATTTGTGAATCATCTTTTTTCAGTCCATCACATAGACTGGCCAATGCTTCAAGTAAACGTTCTTTTCCTTGAAATGTTCGACCGCTTATTGCTTGCAATAGAGCATTGATCAAACGATTACGTTCGGCATGATCTAAATTTTTGCCCAAACGTGTTGCAATCGTATTTATTGCATTCGCACCTTGTGCCTTTATACTCCACGATGAATCGTTCAATGATTTTTCCAACATTGGCATTATCGATTCAAGATTCATACGAATACCAGCATCGCCGGGACTCACATCCATCCATAGCTCTTTCCATGATTCAATCGTTGTACGATTGTCATCGTTGACTTGTTCATGCATCGCAAAGAATATCAATGGCAATATGTGCGCCGAATAATCCTTTAGAATTTCTTGATGACGCTTATTTATTGCGGATATTGTTTGCGGAATACCTTTGTTTGATTGATTTTCAAAGTAGAAATCGGTGAGCTTTGTGAAGAGACGAATCACAGACTGATCCTGTTTTGTGAGACGAAAAAAAAAAACGAATTATTTGAAAATATTTGCGAAAAAATTGAGAAAATTACCTTTGCAATTCCAACCAAATGTCCCATCGCCGATCCGTTGTATTTTCGAACAATATTATTACGATCTTTAAGACCATTGAAACATGCACTCAGATATTTGCCAACTAAGGGTTGCATCTCTTTCTGGAATCGAATCGTGATCTAAAAAAACAAACCGAAAAAGTACGAAACGTAAGTTTTTTTTCTCCTTAACATTCCGATCCATTAATTAAGAATGTGAATTTACCAAGCAAACGAAATGCGCACACGCAATTTTTGTTCCCAAATTGACGGTGACCTTCATCAATTCAACGATATCGGGTGTCATCTTTTCCAATGAATCATATTCAATATATCGAATGCATTTGGTGAGTGTTTCGGTTGAATGATGTTGTTTGGCCACTTCGGCTCGGGCCGAGTCGATCATTTCTTGAGCATCCGCATTGCCACCCAATTGATTTGACATATACGATAATTTTGGTAGTTCCAATTCACCGGTGGCCTTCAATAAACATGGAACCAATACTTGAAGATGTGGCGTCAACAACGAGCCCGACGAATCAATCAGTTCGGATAGCGTTTTCATGCTGAGCGAACGAATTTCGGCGACCGTATTCGTTACACCAATATTCAATAGGACCGGTATCAAAGTGCTTGCTACAATTTCACCAGCTTTCCCATTATTCGTTGATGCGGCGACGATACAAATCTTTGAAAAAAAGTTTAAAGCTTATTAACCATTTCTGTGAAGTGGAACCACGAGTGTAAACAAACTCACCTTGCTCAATTGTTTGGCCGTTCCTTCGGCAGCCAATCGCGTTCCTTCATGCACATCATCCATAACACGGAACAACTGTATCCAGAGTGTGTACAGTTCCGGTTCACTGCATTGAATTTCTTCATTGCCCAAATGAACCGAATGATTTGAATTTTCGGCTTCGTCAATTTCCATTTTCGTATCGTTATCACTGGTGCTTGCTTTGACCGATAAAAGACGATCGTGATATCTTAATTTGAGGCCATTTGAACGTTTGATTAAGTCACGAACAGCCAAACAACATGCAATTCGTACACGCCATTCAACGTCCGTTAAATTTTTCAATAGTTCATCTAAAATGGCCCAGTAGTATGTTTCAACTGTTTCTTTTGAATCGCTTACAATTGAATCCCATATGGAAATCATTGAATGCTGAATTTTTGGCGTTGGATCATATTTATAACGATAGAGACGTGGCACAATTTTCTCTAAAAATGGTTTCATTTGATCTTTGGCCCCTTTCGATATTGATTTCAAGCCAAACGCTGCACCCAGTTTACTATTCCACGTCGCATTGTGATTGGCGAGTTGCATGAATTGATAGATCATCTCTGGTTTATTCAAATCAGACGCAAGACTGCACAGTTCTTTGTACGTTGTTATATTTCCACTGAAATTGACAAACGTTTTTTTAACCAATTATAGAGAAAACTTATTGAAGAGAGAGAAATAGACAGAGAAAATAAAAGTCATGTTTACCCGGTTGGAGTTTTGCCGAGTACGCCTTCTTCGAATAGTTTTGTATCTTCGGTGACTTGATTCACCTGCCGTTTTCCGCCTAATAGTTGATTCAATAGCGAATTGGCTAAATCGCCTTGAATTTTCACTGCCGACATTTCATACACCAATCCAAGGCCACGCGATGCCACATCTTGTACAAATTCTGTAACAAATCATTCAGTTTTTATAAAAAAAATCTTCATTATCGATATCGTCGATAATTATTGAACCAACAACAAATTTTTTTAGATCAAAAACTCACCGCTATCATCTGATAATAGTTCGGTGAATGCATATTGTAAGATATCTTTTCGTTTGTAGATCGATGAACGTTTTGAGCAATTTTTTACAAGTGCTAATAGCCATATGCCACTTGAATGTCGCGATGCTGGGTTTGGATCCGCCACCATTCGTATGATACTGTTTAAAAATTCGTCAAAACATTTATCACTGCAATGTGGATTCAATGTTTCGCCATGACTTTCTTTATTGTCATCAATTTCATGTCCCAAAACTGTCAAAACGATCGATTGTGCAATGGCGATATTCAGAGCGGGATCTTTTGTCTGTAAATTCGAATTTAGTGTGAACATTTGCAATGATAATTTTTAAAATAAATATCACACAAACCAATTTAATCATTTTGGTGAATGCTTTCAAGTGTCCTTGAGTAAAATAGGCACCGTCTCCGATGGCCAAATGGCCAAGACAATGAGCGGCTTCCTCTCGGATTTTCGGCCGTGAATGTGCACTTTTCAATAGAAATAGAATTTTTTGTGCAACAAACGCTTTGCTGTATTCATTTAATTCACCATCCACATCCATTTGTTCATCGTCAGCATCATAGGTTGTTGTTGTCGAAGACGAACCAGCATCACTCTCCGTGCAATCAGGTAATGGTAATTTTATCACCGAACCAATCAAAGAAATTCCATTAATCGCAGCCGAAACCAGCAATGGCTGTTGATCGGTCAAGTGATCGATTAACAAAACGATGACTTGTTTCAATTCGGCCCATTCGGATGTGATATTTTCATTTGATTTTCGGTATGAGACAATTTTACGATGCATTGCATGCGACAATGCCAGTAAACTACCATGACGATGCTCGATTTGTCGTTGTGATAACGAATTTAATACTTCTTTGATCTGAAAATGGCCAGAAAAAAAATATTTCAATAAACTCTGAAAATGTACTTCATTTCGTTCGGAATTAACTCAAACTTTCGAAAGGCAACGGAAAATTAAAATTACACTCACATAAGCATTAAACTGATCAAATGAACTTCCAATAGCCCAAAGAATTCCGATGCTTTGTGAGACCAAAATTCGCGTATATTCCGAAACATCCTTCAATGACAATGCAAAACTATCCATCAAATCGTAACATTGTTGGCTTAATGTTTGTAATTCAGCATTTAATAAATCATAAATGCAAATTAATTCGATATTTCCACGCTTTGCCACCAAAATCTGTTTCACCAACATCAAATATTTTTGAAGGAAATTCTCTTCGTTCGCTTCATAATTGTTTTGAATGTACGTATTCAATTTGGATACAAATTTTGCGTTATTTGGATTTGATCGAATGCCCGCTGAATACCACAGACACAATCGCAAATAGTCCAAAATCTAAACGAGAATAATAAAGGTCAATTGATTGAAATCTCTCGCATTGAAAACAAAATGTCACCTCTGTGTACACTTCATACGAATAGGTAAGGGTGGCTCGACCGTAAACATAACGCTGTGTCGATGAATTACTCAATCGCTTCTGATTCATTTCATACACATGATTGATCATCTCTTTAAACGAAGGCAATATAACGCGACGCTGTTCGGCTGATAATTGATTCACGTCAAGCGCTTCAGTTTTTATGGTCGATGCATCATCAATCGTCGATATGTACGAATAATTTATGTGATCCTTCTTTGAAACTCCGTATAAGTGTTGTGTGATTGTTTCACGCAATGATGATCTAAAAAAGAAATATTTGATATTTTAATTGAACGTACGTGGTTACGTAAAAAGAAGAATGCCATGGTGTACCTTTCGCCAGCTATCAAAAGCAAGAGATATCGTGCAGGCACGAAGTGATCCGGGAAACAAATGGTTAAAAATATGCAAGTAACATTTTGTACGATGGTCGATTTCGATTCGGCATGTTCGTTCAGCATGGCAAGCAGTAGTTTTTGATTTGAATTTGGTACAAAATCCTTCGAATTCGATGTGCTTACCGTTGTATCATCGTCGGCAGCACCACCACCGCTATTCCATTGAAATGCGGGCGCAATGGCAATTAATGCTTCACGAATGGAATCGTGCAATTCGGTTGGAGCTTGTGTCAAATGATTAAAGTAGGCAACGGTTAGTTGCAAATCTTTATTGACGATGTCCGGACATTTTCGTGCCAGCATTGCAATCGCTGTATATGCTGCGTTTTGAATATCAGCCGTTTCAGTTGATTCAACTCCAATCAATTTAGATACACCCGACAAAATCACTTTGGAAATTTTATCGATTAGCTCCTTTTGACCACTGAAACAAAAGCAAAAACATATATTTTTTTCTCTTCAATCACTATCCTGTAATTTTGATTCTATAATTCTAAAACAGTAATGCAGCGTGCTCACATTCTCAGGGGAGGGATTAATTTAACAAATGAATAATAAAAACGACTTATTAAACTTACTCTCGAATCAAATTCTTTGCAAATTGAAGTGCTAATACTTTGCATTTTTGATTATTATTTTCACCGAAAAGTGCTTCGAAAATTACTTGAATGCCACGCACTGTATTGATTCCTTTGCCTCGACTCTTTAGCAAATACTGTAACAATTTTTGACGAACACGTGCACTGCATGCGCTTGTTTTGCGTTCCGCATTTTTTAAACCGTTTCCCAAAAATAGTGTGTACAATGGTGCTGTTATTTCTGGATCTGACCAATCAAGCGATGAATTGATTTTACTTAGTTCGGCTATGGCCGGTGTTGCAACACTAAATCGTGTATCGGCCGAAGCAAGAACTAGCAACGTTAAAATATCATGATCGGAAAATACACCGCTGCATAGAAAACGGCAAATGCCTTTTTTCAGGTTTTCCAATTCTTCGGCCTTCCACTCATTTGCAATGACCCGTTTGAATGCGTATGAGCTCATTCCTGCCGGAACTTCGCCGTCACTTTGAATGACGCCGTACGGTAGCAGTAGGACATCTTGTAAAAGTGCCAAAAATTGCTTTTTTGTCGACGGTTTATCGCTAAGACCAAGTAGAGTGCATCGTTTTACCGGATCTTTTGGTATTTCGATCGATTCCAACAATGGCAACACTAACATCAATAATCTAAAACAAAACGATAGTTAAAACGATGCGAAATCAAAAAACGAGAGGTGCACCTACTTGTCTTGATGATTTTCTGGTTTTCCTTCTAAACAATTCAATAGGTATGTGGCCAATTTGGTTTGTTCCTCTTGGCTAAGCCGAGGAAATCCCATTGTTATGTAAATTATGGAAAAATTGTGCAAAAACGTTGAATCAGTTGTTTGATATTGCTGAAGTAATGCATCAATTGGTAACTGAACCAATGGTCTGGACTTTAATCGTTTATTGACGTGCGTCAAAACTTCCATCACCTGAAAAATTAAATGCATTGCCATTGACTGTTGCTTTGTTATGGTCAACAGACTTACCTTGCATCGCACGGATTCGTTTGGCGATGTGATTTTCAGTAAGACTGGTGTCAGAAATTTTTTGACCGATACTTCAAGTTGTTCATCAGTTTCGGTTGTGCCCAATCGAAAAAGAACCCGCTCAAGCAATTCTGTGCACATTGAAAGAAATAAATCATTCAGTTATATTCGTTTTTCTCTTTGCGAAAAATCATATGAATAACAAACAAACAAAAAATCAGATTTGCCGCATCATCAAGATTATGAAATGTTGAATCAACGACATTGGTCACATTTAATTCGTAATTGCAAATGAACGAATTCTAGGCGCGATGCAATCGATTCTGTTTCTTTGGTCGTGAAAGAACTTTTAATTTTACCAATTTCTGACTCTACGGACGACATCGCTGTAGTAAAATAATGATTGAATCACTAATAAATTAAAAAAAATCACTGGTTTCGTTTCCGTAATCGGTTACTTATTCGACTTTTATAACTCACTGTTTTCATATACTCTGTGCATTTATTCGAATTGTGTTCGATCACAAAACAAATGATATCGACGGTGTAAACACATACACATAGGCAACGAAATGTCAAAGTCATATCGTAACATAACCCTTCGGCTTATTATGTCGTCGGACGATGAGTAGGCAAACTAACATTTCCATTCATTTCGTCGCATTATCGTCGCATTATTTCAAATGCAGTTCAACAATTTTGTAGAAAATGTGTAACTACAATTTTGAGATTTGCAATTTAAATTATTAAGGAATTTATAATAGAATGAAGTTCATTTAACTTTTTTTCTCGCAATTCAACAGTTTTGCAATAGATGGCGTCATTTGATTCAAATTCTAACACGAAAATAATAATTGTGTCTTTTGAAATTGGAAAATCAACCGTAGTCATGGGATTTTCTATCATATGTTTGTGGTTATTTCCACACTACCGCTTAAATTCTCTCAAATGATGAAAACTATCGAAAAAATAAATCGCTGAATGCAATTTCAAACATTATTATCACGGAGAACTTTCTGTTTGGCTTGTGAATGTATATTCTAATCGAATATTCTGATTAGATTTGGTTTAATAGCGAAATTAAAAATAATTTGTGAACAATTACAAAAACATTTGGATTTAAATAATAAAAAAGGAACAAAGTATTCAAGTCTGTATTAAATAATGCATATAAACTAATGCTAAAATGATTGACATTATTACAAAACACTTATTCTATTTCATACAAAATTCATATGTATATATATAATTGTTTATTATTTTCGTGATGCAGCCAGATTGTATGGCAAAAGACTTTCGAATATAAATTTCTGAGCTATTTTTTCAAGTTTCATACAATTTTCATGTTCAAAATGAAAACTAATCAACCGAATGGATTTAAAATACTTCGGGGAGAAAAATTCCCATTGCAAAAGATGGCGTTGTAATAAGAAGAAACCAACCAAGAAAATTCTTTGAAAAATTTATGAACATTCTCAATAAGACTGAAGAACTTCATGCGAGGTCTAGTTAATAATTCATTGTAGTTGCTGATCCTCGACCCCTTTATAATTGATTCAATAAGAATAGAAACAGGGAATATATTTCAAACATTCATAAACAAAGAGATTCGATGGTTTTGTATGGTTTTTGGTTTCCACTGGTAAATCACATTCTGGAACCAAACCGAAAGTATCTGTTTTTTGTTCGAATGTTAGTGCATGCGGGACTCAGTGGTTCCACCGTGTGCAAACTTTAAATCATTTTGTCTCGTTCCTTTCTAATAGAAGTTGTCATAATTTTAAAATGTGTGCCATATTCATTCGCAACACTGTGCTCTCTTTCCTTTTTCCTCATAAATGAGTCACGTACATTTGAGAGAAATTTAAACACATTTCATTTTCATATAATTTATTTAGGTTTTTTTCCCCTTCCCTGACAAGTGGCTGGGTTTTGAAAATCATCCGAATAATTTGTACTTCTGCTTATGATGTCGTTGTTGTTGTTTTTGTTGTATATTTTATATATATACGTGGGCGATTCCTTATTCGTTACGAATGTTGCTGTATCGAGATATATGTGTAAAAAGCTGACAACCACATTTAAATTTATTCCCATAATTATTTTTGTTGTTGCATAAAACAATGTATGGTATGATATGCTTGAATTTAGTATCAACACAAAATTGGACAATTTCAAGAGTATTTTTGTTGGGACTTAAAGTTGCATAATTATAAACTCTATCATTTTAACGACTTTAACGGGACCGAAAAGTTTCTTAAAATGAAAAGAAAATGAAAAAGCGCAACTGAAATTGGAATTTAAAAACAAGCCCCTACGAATTTTGTGTAAAAAAAAATCCGTTGACCAGAATAAGCCAAATGAGAACAATGCAAAAAAATGTCATTGAAAGGGAAAAAGGAAAAGGATAGATCCAGAAATGAAAGAAGATAAAGCCCCCGTGGGTTGGCCGGAGGGATACAGCCAAAGCCAAGCCATTGAAATACATGACATTGTTTGGTTAGTGTGTTGGTTTGTACACCATCTTCGGATGGCACAATTATTGTGTTGTGGAGTGTTAGTTGATGTTGTTGCGATTATTATCCATTAAAAGCACTTACACGCGTCTACATGTATTTGTAGCGCGCTACTAAAATCGGGCTCAAGTACAATCATAGCTGGGCAGACAGGGGGGAGGGGGGGGATTACCCCCTCCTGAGGCATCAAATTTTAGCGTTACCCCTTTACAAAATCAACAAATTTTTGCGTTACCCCTTTACAAAATTCATGATTTTGGATAGAATTTTTCTCATTTTGCTAGGGTTTTTGGATCATAGATGAAATTTTCCTATTTTGCTAGGAGTTTTTGAGAAAATTACCCCCCCCAATCCCCCCCCTGAATTTTTCAGTCTGCCCAGCTATGAGTACAATGGTACAAACATGTTATTCCGCTGTATGAAGAAAACAACCAGTCAGCGGGTGTTCTTTGGTTAATTTTCATCAATGTAAAATCGTCATATATATATATGTGTGTGTAGCATGTCGAAAACCAAGCAAACGACGACGACGACGACGACGACGACGAAAATAAAACAAAAAATAGCAGCAACAGCGGTAACGAAAGAAAACCAAATGAAATGCTTTTGATGCACGGAATGAATCCATTACAGGGAACAAAGCAACAACTTTTCCGAATGGAATGACAGTAGAAAAAATGAGAGGAGTGGGAACGGGGAAGAATTTGAATTTTAGACGCACATGATTGCATCAGAGAGCAGCGATAGCAACAGCGGGGTAAGAAATGTAACGGTGTGCGTATTCTCTGGGAGCTCCATTAAAATAACAATTTCTTTATCAAACAATAATCTCCGCTCTTTTTCGGGGGGGTTGAAAAAGAAATGAGAGAAAAAAGAGCGAGCACGGTAGCCGCCTGACATTCAGATAAATCCTTATCATCGCATTTACATAAAGGATTTTCCATCCATTTGAAATATTGTGCGACGCGCGCGATGGTTTTGTTTTTTAAACCTCGACATTTGATACTGCTGGGTCTTTTTTCCAAGTCGTTCAGCAAATGTTTGCCTTAACGCTTTGTTCCATTCGTTCATTTTTCTTTTCATCCATCAAAAAATGTGTGCGAGTCTATAGCACACGCTATGCTTTGGCTCATCTTGTCATCGAATGACTTCGGAAGTTCACAATTGGTTTTACTCTGACAAATCATCATAATATGCTTCGAATACTCGGTATGCGCAAAAGCAGCTATTACAACCAAAAATACAAAAAAAAAATACAAGTGAAAAAACGCACCATGGAAAAATACAACTCGAATAAAACTATAGTGTTGTATATTTCGGACACATTCATTTTCGATAACTCTTTTTTGTTCGCTTTGTCGCTGTGATTATGATTACATTTCAAATGTGAGCGCTTTTTTTACCCCGAATTACACGCGGTTAAGCCGATGAATATAATCCTGGCACACATTCATGCAAGCGGCTGAACGCAAGAAGCAACAACAACAACAAAATAGCAAAGAGAAGAGCATAGTTACTGGATGACCGTAATAATAGTAATAATGAAAAAAAATATAAAGGATGATGTTGATGGGAACATGTGAAATATGCATATTCAAAAATTCAATACTTTAGACATTGTCGCGCAAATGAAAAGCTGGTACCTGTCAAAAGATTTAATAGCATTCGGTGTTTAGTAGGCAAACCATTTTCGTTTGTGTTATTTTTCTCTTGCTGTTTCTCTTTTCCTCCCCCTTCCTTCTTTGCTTCTCTCTTCTTTAAGTTTTAATGGCCTTTCGCCTTCATATGTAATAGCTCGATAACGAGCACGTGTGTTTTTCATGCGGTAGTTAAGGAGAACCTTGTAAGCACACACTCTTCTTGTAACTCTTTGTAATACGATGGCGCAACATGGGCTTGTGAAATGTGCAAGTTTCTATTTTTTGCGATGGGCAAAGTGGAGAGCGGTGATGTCACTGTGTGTGACTTTGAGTTAATAGTTTAGCTGTTTTCATGTAACGCTTAAGCACGAGCACTTCTTTTCTTTGTCCCTTTCTCACACTTCAGCTCTCAGATGTGTGTGTGTGTGTGTTTTTTTATTCCTTTTATTTGCCACTTTCCTTTTATCGTATAGTTTCGTTTAATATGCTTTTTTGTTCGCTTAGCTTCCCATCAGAATTACTGAATCATCTACGACCTTTAGCCAAAGCTCAACACAATCCTATAATAATTGCATACACAACGTAATTATCACCAAACCACAATTGCTGGTGAATTGCATTGAATTAACTTTGTGTAACCACTTTTTTTCGTTCTGCTCTTCGAACAGTGGAGTCAAAATTTAAAATTGGCGAAAGCCGCATTCAAACAACAACAAAAACAAATCATCGAATAAAAAAAATTGAAACAAAACAAATATAATTGAGGCCAACGATGAAACAAAAATATACAAACACATAATACGAGAAAAGAAAAAAGAAAAGCTTCGTTTCACCTTGTGCCTTGGGTATTTACTTTTCTGCATTCTTTGCCTAACCTCTCTTTCTAATATCACTTCACTTGCTGACTTTGGTTCTCACTCTTTCACTTCACCTGCTTCCCCATCTCTCCTTTTGCTTCCTTAAATATTTCGTGTATTCTCAGTGGCTGTTTATCTAAACGGCTTCACGTTCCCATGGCTAATTATTACATTCAAGGAATTCACATAAAAAAAACTTCAGTAGCTTCATTTTAGATGTTTGACGCTCAATTGGTTCTGAGCACCCATTCTCCCGCGCGTCCCCCTTCTCTCTCTCACTCTGTTGCCGAGCCGATACATTAACATGTAACAAATATATACGTATATTGTATCATCTACTCCACCAACACCATATATGGAGAAACGATTATATTTGCATTATAATTTAAGTCAATTGATGATCTAGACATTTTGGCTATTCCCTTGCGTTGTTTTTCAACTCGGAAAATAAAGAAAAGCAAAAAAAAAAAATCAGCAAAGAATAGAATGGAGAAAGAGAAAATGCCAGTAAAACCAAAC